TTAGTCCCATATTCATCAACTGACTCGTAGGGTAGACTGGGTATTGATTGAGATATTGGTTCTTTTGTAGGTAATTTTTAAATTTTGGCAATATTTTGGGCGGCTTTGTATGTTTACATCAAACTTATATGAAACTTGCCTCCAAGAACCGCTTCAGATATGTAAATAAGAATTACAGTTGTTTTTTGTTAAAAAAAAACATAACGCCACCTTTTTTGACGTTGCTCATGAACCATTTGAGACATAGTTCGTTTTTATATGATTGAATAGAGAATTGGTAATTCGATTCAATTATAATAACGTTTGTGAGCAAACTCGGGTGGATTTGTCATAAAAAGTCACACGAAATTTGAATATTAGGCATTTAGGTGCAAGTTTACGCTAATATTTCATTAAACAAAAACGTGTCTACATAACGTCAATCTTTCAAGTTTCTACTGGATTTACTTTGGGAAGTTGGATCTTTTATTGAAGACTGTAGTTGTGTGAACGCGTTCACTTTCAAATTAACATTTACGAAGGGCGAAACATTCAGAATTTCATGCGACTTGAATAAACTTTTGAAGGTTTGACGGAATTTCGACGACATATGCACTCATCTTTACTGAACGCAGAACTCTGAACTTGTATAGTATTTTTTGCTTCTGAGAAATTAATTTTTGAAAAACGCGATGCAAAATGTGATCCCGCAACAGTTTTTCAAATCCTAAGCAATATTTGCTAAACGTATAGTGAAGTTGGAAGTTGTGACATTTAGAATGCACTCATCTTTACTGAACGCACAACTCTTAACTTGTAGAGTATTTTTCGCTTCTGGAAAAATAATTTTTAAATAACGCTATGCAAAGCGTGTTCCCGCAACAGTTTTTTCAAATCCTCAGCAACATTTTCTTAACGATGAGTGAAGTTGGAAATTGTGGCGGCATTTAGAATGCACTCTTCTTTACTGAACTGAGTATTTTTCGTTTTTTTTTTTATAACTTATCGCATCTCACTGTGCCGCACTATTAATTGCGCTTAGTATTTAACCCAGCTTAAAAGTGGAATTAAAGCTTTACCAGGCTCAGGGCAAGAATTTCAACAACTAACAAATAAAGGTGACCAAATTTTTAGGAGCAATATTTTTCCAAATGGGTGACTGCAACGCACTGTAACGGTGAGTGACTGTGCCGTTGCGTTGGTTTACTCCTGAAAATTAACTCAGTTACCCATCGTATTTATTACTAACCCAAACGACCTCCTATATTGCCTCAATAGGCGTTTGACTTTAGATTTGATTAAGACCGCTTAAACATTAAAAGTATCGAAAAACCGCTTAAAATTCGCCCTAAATGTTAAATTTCTTGGATCTGGACTGTCTCAATTATGGCTTGAAATATGGAGAAGCTTTTTAGGTCCAAAGATATGTATTGAGCTACAAAACACACATTTGAAAATTTTTTTGTCAGAAGAAATCAACTTTTAAAATGTCTGTTTTTCAGCTCAATGCAGCTTTCGACCCAATAATTATTTCACTATTTATAGTAGAGATATAACTATTTAAGGTCTTATTTCACATTTAATATCTGCCTAAATTTCATTAAAATCGCGTGAAATCTGAATGCTTGCTGAGTATTTCTAATACGGCTAAAAATGAGAAACTTCATGTTTTCGTTTAAAATATGATCTTTCAATAAAGGTCAAGTACAAAGTTGAAATTCTGATGATCGATAAAAGTCAGTTGAATATTTAACTCTGTAAATTCTTATTAAAATAACGTAAAATCCGGATATTTGGTGATCAAGTCAAATCAGGCTTAAAATGGCACATTTCACACACTTACAGGCGTTATTTAAAAAAATGGAAACTTGGAGTCGAGATTATGCAGAAACGTGAAATTTTTACTTCTTATGGTAAAGATGTGACTAGGAATTTAGAACTAGAAAATTTTGTTAAAATATCCTAAAATCCGAATGTTTCCTTAGCAATTCTGGCTTAAATTGAGAACTTTCAAGCTTTCATTTAAAACATTGCAACTTTCAATGAAGCTCAAGTACAAGTTTGAAATTCTGATGATCTATAAAAGAGAACTGATTTTCTGACTCAAGTCCGGCAGATTTTATTGAATTCTGGCTTTAAAGGACCAATTTCACACATTTTTACGTAAAAAATTGTTTGTTTTGGAGGTTAGTTTTCAACCAAACTATTTCTTCTATTTCATAAATAAGCGTTTGGGTTTAAATTTGAGCAAATATCGTCGGTTAAAGATCAAGACCGCTTAAACGTTAAAAGACTCGACAAACCACCTAAAGTTCGCCCTAAATGTTCTGCTTCTTGAATCTGGAGGTTTTCAATTATAGACTCAAATATTGAGAAGCTTCTTAGGTCGAAATCTATGCATTCAGCAATAAACACGCATTCGTAAGTTTTTCAAAAATTATTTTTATGGACAAACATCAATTTTTCAAATGTGTGCTTTGTAATTTCAATGCTTTCGACCTATATCATAAGCATTAAGCACGTCATATGTTAAGTGATGGTTTTAAATCGCTCCGAAACTTATGCCCCGACTTACTTTTTTACATTACAATTTGTCGAACTAAGCAGAAGCAACTGAAATGGTCCTATTTTTTTTCGGTTTTGAAACAGATTCCTGGCTCTGTTTTAAATCAGTTTTAATGACCTAAAATTACAGTTCGTCCGTAGAAGCTAATTAATCAAAGCTCCTTGTAGAGAAACTGATTATACATCGGACTGGTGTTTTAACTGTAACCTTTTCCATTTTGCTCTATTTCGAGCAATCGTATTCGTATTTATATTGACATTTAGCTGATTTAATTTAATTTATTTAAATGGTAGAAATGCATAATTGATTTCATATCGAGAATACATTCGTAATGATTTGAATTGATTAAGTGGAAAAAGGTGGTATTTTATAACAAGGTTCTGGTTTTTAGGACGCTTTTTCCTGCATTTATTACTGTCAAGTTTTCGTCGTTTTTTTTTACGTCGCAATTGATATATTATGAGCGCTCTTCTGTGGCTCTACAATACGCAAACCCCATGAACAAGAATTTTTTAGTATCGTCACCGGAAAAATGAACCATCAAACCTATAATTTCGCTTTTTACGAACGTTGTTGTCTCTAGAATTAGAGGCGCTTCTTCGAAAAACTCATTAGACCAAAGCGTTTATGTCTGTAATCCACGGAAAGGGTTTAGTTAATTGTTCGTATGTATAAGTTCATTGGGTTACCTGAATCATGAATATTACAGTGAAAATTTACAGTTGAAAGCGAAATTTAAGTGAATTCCTAGAAATGTATGAAGAGCTGTGACATGAAAGTTGCAATAATTTATTTCTCGAAAACGGTTTAAGTTAGCGAAAGAGTGACTGTTGCTTCAGTACATAGAGCAAACTTTTCTCTATGAGTTTTGCATTTGTATGATTTTTGTAAAATAAATTATATAACGAAATGAAAATGTGTTGCAAACGCAAATTTTTGCAAAATTTTAAATAAGCAATAAAACGATTTAAGTTAGCGAATTGGATGTTGCTCAATTCGATGGAGCACACTTTTCTCTATAAATTTGGAATTAACTCAAGTAAATTTATTGGAAAGTTTTGAATAACCGAGTTTTTTGCGTTTACGTTTCAATAACTTATTTATTCAAAACCCTTTAAGTTCGCCATGTGTTTAGAGCGTAATTAATAGGCCATAGGATAGAGAATATGTTGCTCTATAAGCCCTCAATTAAGTCAAATCAATTGAGTATTTTTGCAAAATTTTAAAAAGCAGGCGCCAATGTTTCGGATTCAGCCAATTTTTGGACATTGAAGTTTCAATAACTAATTTATCAGAAACGTGTTGAGCTTGCAATGTGCGTGTTGCGCAACTGTATAGAGGATAGTCCGCTCTATTTATGCCCAGTAGTTGGAGCTTCTAGAAAATTCGACTGATTTTCGGTAACTGCAAAGAATCTCGGAAATTTCATAATTCAATTGGCAAACTTTCTCCCACAGAATGCCACCTAGGTTTGCCAAACGACAGCAATAACTCTTTGGATTTTACGGTTTGTCTCAAATTTGCGGGTGGCTTTTGGAATGCTATTAGCCACATTCATTGTTTGGAAAGTCCCGTTTTCACATGTGGCGAATCAATGAAAGGGCCCAGAAGTAGAAAGTTTTTTTTTTGAAACCCGCTCATTCTTTCAAATGCAGGTAAAAAAATGGCACATTGTTCTAATTGTCAGACAGCAAAAAGAGCAATTCTCCTAATTGGAACACCGATTGTTTAGAAATAGCGACCCCATGGGTGGAAGAAAATTTCGGAACTTTCATTTCTGCATTTGAAATATGAGTGTCTAGTTGCTTGGATTCGAGGTCGCTTCCCTAGAAGCATAATTCATTTTCCGCATGTCGAAAAACCCCATCGACTTCCTCATGCTAACAGCCACTGGTACCGTATAGTTAAGATTAACCGTTTTTTGCGTTCATTTACATTATCCTCTACGAAGAGTTCACATCTCTGCTACTCTGCGATAAGAATTTTTATGTCTCCTGTTTCCTTAAACAGCAAAAATTCTCTTACAACGGTCTAGTTCTCAAATAAATTCCTGCAGGAAAAACGCAACGATGCCGTTTTAATTGCGGCGACGACCACTTTTTTCTTCCCCGATTTGTTCGGACATTTTATTTAAATAAACTGCTTAGAATTGATGGGGATTTAGTCGAACAGTGGCAAGGAATTTGCGTCTGAGGGACAGTGTTCTGGTTTTATGTGTTCACTGAGGGAGAAGTGTGGATGGTTTTGAACGATTTGAGAAAAGCGAATTTTTTTCTATTAAAACAGTCGTGAGTAGCGATTGAAAAACCGCAAAAAATTAAGCAAAATATTCGAATGTGTCGTCGTTGTCATGCCAGGCTAAGGAAGTTATCGATCTAATGTAATAAATCATTTGGTATTTTTGCAAAGGATTTTCCATAAACATCTAGATGGATATAAACTACATAAAACTTACCATTCGGCGTGATAGGTGTAGAAGTAACAGCCGCATCTGGAAAGAAAACATGAACAATTAGTGGCTGGTAGTTGAAATTAGTTGGCAAGCATAAAACTAATCAACATTCGCAAGATGCTTTATGATCTTTAAACACCGCAGATGCCCATTAGCCTGTCGTCTCTGCAAGCTTAAGACCGCTCGACTTTTGGACGCTCGATACCGGGACGATTGAGCACTACCTGCCGTTGAGTCATTAGCATGGGAAAGACAATGCCGATCGTCGAAAACAAAGGTCGTACCATCGGTAATATTATGCGAAATATGCCTTCGTTTGACGGATATGTCGATCGAATCCATGGGCGTGCCCGCCCATTGTAACGGGATTTTATATGAAGGGACGATTATTTTTCGATTTGGCGATGGTGTTTAATGGAAATGCCTCACCTCATTAAGAACCGACACCAACAGCATAAATCGAATCGGAACCCGCACAAACCGACATGCAAATTACGCGTTCGCAGTTAATGGAAACGTAATAATAGCCATTATCATCAGTCACTGAAAACTAATAACCTCCATTAATTCGACCAATTTATTTCATTATTATAATTCATTCCTTCTTTGGTTCACATGACTCAGCCGGAATGGTGAAGGTTGTTCGGCATTGCCGTACCATATGAGTGGCTCTATACTGAAATGGAAATTTTAGGCTAGAGAAATAGACATTGATTGTGCTTTTTTTACTAGAATCGACTTTCGCAAAGAAACCAACCCCATGGGTGGGACCGTGTTCCTTCCATTGTCTACTCGTAGTATTTCTCATCAAATGGCCACCTAATGATGGAATGGCCTACCAAGAAAGACCGTTTGATGTTTCATGGAGCGACTGGCAACTCAGGGGGTGATCCTTATCATAATTTCACAACCAGTTCAGACCGCAGTCCATTCGAAAAGAAAGTTACTTCAATTTCTAGTCAAATACGCGGTTTTTTACGGTCCTACCACCATGTCCACAACAATAAAACCCGAACCATTTTCAGGTGGCTAAGTCTAGTAAATGTCCAACTGAGCGGTGGTTTTCAGCCAGACAAGTGATTAGTCGCTCAGTGTAAAGAGCACAGGACATTACTAGGTTATAAAAAGTGCTCTAAATTGGACAGCCGTGAAAATTCACCCGATTTATTTGGCTCTTGGGGTTGTATTGACAATGGCGTGTTCATATTAATTTGAGAAGAGTTAAGACAGGTAAAAAAGGTTAAAGTGAGAGTGAACCAGGCTTCCGAGAATGCTTTGAAGCTACCCGGCTTGAGTTTTGTTTGAAATTGACCAAATTTAGTGCAATGCAAAAATCCTTTTCAGCTATTTTTTTTTTATTTCTGTGACAACCTGTGGTTCTTTTCAGGATTTTGTCTTTGGTTTTACATGAAGAAGATAAGTAGATAACATTTGTGTAGCCTCAATTGAATCGCCCTGTCTCGGATGTTCCTGTGTTTCTGTCTAATTCGTCTTGAGTTTTCGAGTTTTAACATTTCGTCAATTGTACAGTTTTTCAATAATTTCTCTTTGCTTTTCATATTTGCAATTTTCAAGTTTTTTATTTCTGCTAGTTATTTGAATTGACTGCTTCATACGTGATTTTTATGGATTTTTCGTCCAGATGGTATTCAAATCTTGTTACTAATTTCGAACTGTAATCTAAGGATTTTCTGCTTTACGTTTGGGGTCTTTTTACTTTGTTTTCCATGTGTCCTCATGCCAGTTTTAGATACTTTTGTCATTTTTTACTGCTAATTGTACATTAAATGTATAATTAATTTCTATTCCAAAGTTTCACAGTTCGTCATTTTTATATCTCATATCTACTCATTTGCGTATTTGTTGTTTAAATTCTCTTATAAGTAAGTGAAGATTTTTTGGATTCCTTAATGACAAATTGCACATTATTTTCTAAATAAATTTCTCTTTGCTTTCCAAATTGGAAGATGATGGTTCCTATTCATTTGACCCCAATCTTGACTTCTCTCTCGATTAAATCGCTTGTTTTGTATGTTACTGTGTCTTTCCAACTATTTCTTGATAAATTTTACAGATTTTTAAGTAGGGGATTTCTCTTTGCCTTCCACTTTTGAAAGTAAGTGCCTTTCATTTGTTCTTTTCATTTTTTTATTTCGCGTCTAAACTGTCTGCCTTATTAATTCCTTTATTCTATTTCTCCTCAGATTTTGGTATTTCGTTACTAATCCGGAACTGCAATTTCAGGATTTTGTGCGGTATCGGTTTCTGTTTTCTTGCAGATGATTGTTTTCGTTTGTTCTCGATCTTGGCTTGTTTCTCCATTGAATCAACTTGTTTCGTATCTCAAATTTGTTCTCTCATTTGCGTTTTCAATATTTCGTCGTGTTTCTACAGCAAACTATGCACATTTTTTTCAAAAATTCCCATTACTTTCCACATTTGAACACAATTTCCTTCTTCTGTTGAATATTATTTTCATTTGTACTCGATTCAACCGCCTAAATCCCCGTATGGACAGTCGAGCCGAAATAATTGTAAGAAATGCGTTGATTTAAAAACATTTTAAACATTAAAAACTAAAAAAATGAAAAGAAAAATGTTTGATTCGAATTGATTTTACCTCCGTACATATACTGAAGCATTTTGCTTGCGCTATGATTATATCATCAAACAAAAGTGAATGTTCCGGGAGTGTGAAATGTTAAATAACGCTTTAATTCAGTCGAACCAAAACCATTCTTAATTATTCCCGACAAAGCTCGTCCTTTTGTTTCTTTTGAAAATATTTAAACTGTCGGAATGAAGCGTTGAATAATACCACTTGGCAATAAAGCCAGCGGTAACTGGATTACGTGCATTTGAGCCCAGTAAAATTCTGTTATAAAATAAAAATTTCAGTGATTTACTGATGGAAAAAAATGAGGGAAAATTGACCTAGTGAGGCGAAACTGGCCTTAAAAGTCCTTCTAGGTAGTGGGGCCATAAATCAAAAACTGGGTCTATGCAAAACGTCGGCCCATAAATATTTTAATTTGTAAGAAGGCGTAACCTTGATATTATAACCCGATTCAAAAAAGAATTATTATCGACTGGCTTTAATAATCATCTCAAAGATCTCGAAAGATAAATGGGCACTAAGGTGCATAAAGTAGGATTGAGTTAAGAGCGCTATCGATAGCGTCATTACAGTGTTTAAAAATCTACAGTGCGTGGTCGATTCGTTCCACTTAGCTTTAACATTGAAAAACACCGTTTGTTATAGTACTTTGTCAAATTTTTACAAAATTCCACTGAAAAGGGCTTAGTTCCAACGAATTTAGGATTTATTTTTTCATTATTTATTGCAACTGTGAAGGTTGAATATCTTTGAAATGTCAACTCCCAGTATCAATCTACATAATACAAGTCTTCATGCCAAGGTCTCAAGTTAAGCTTTAGCAGCAGTCATAAACAAAAAAAAAATTCGTGTAATAGTACCTGGCTTGGACTTTTCAGCGCGTGCGCTTTTGTTGCAAATGTCCATTAGAAGAACCCTTGGTGAGTCTGAGGAATGTCTTACAGTCACTAGTAAAAAGTGTACTTTAGGTTCAAGCAAAAAAACGTGTATCCACTGCATCTAAACCAGTCTCAGTTTCATGGCAACGCGAGTTACAAGCGCAATTTTGCACTGTCTACTTAGTAAGTTGGATGAAAGATCACACTATTTTACATATAAATCCACACTTGAGCAATTAAATTGGAAAATATCGTTTCAAATTTTGGCCGCTTCGCATTTGCGTTCGCATCAGCATAATCGAATTAAAGGTTTCCAAGCTCGTCTTTTGTGTGAACACGCAACATTATTAATGACCATAACACGCTCGTGGTCAAATACAACGCGAAACTTTGAATGCATTTTGCATACATTTGAATGGCAAAACAGTGGTTTCACACTAATCAGGACGTTTTCGGTGGTAAAAGGTCCGAAAAGAGCACGCGATTCGCATGTTTGTTCAGGTGGGGTGGCTCGCTTTTAGCGTGATAATCAAAAATTTTTAGCCTAAAAAAATCAGATCCGTTCACATGGGCCTTCAGATAGGGCAGATTTAGTATCACTCGACTGAATAAAACCCTACCAGATAAAACAAACGAGACAGAAACTTAAGGAAAAGGTCGTTTGCTAATTATACAGATACAGGTGTACCTTGTGGGTTATTTTGCGGTTTGAAATCATCATTTTTTAAGGACAGGAAATGGGTTCAACCTGTGCATGTCCCTAACAAACCTGCTTCCTAGAAGCATAAAAAATTATCATTATCGATGTCATTTAAGCATTCCTTCTGTATCATTTAAGCATTTGCTCAAATCGGGTCGGGTATAGTTGAAAGATGCGAGGTAATTTGATGGTTGCGGGAATACCTATTAATTTCGTGGACGGCTGGAAAAAAATCCACAAAGTGCCTTTTGGCCTGTTATTTACCGAATACTGAACGAATTTTAAGTCGGTGGAATTTAAACAGTTTTTGGCCTTTAAGTGTTGCGATCTCAAGGTTTAATGGGGTTTTGCATTTGTCGAATTTTCCATAAAGAAGCCTTTTGTGTTCAAGCCCTAAACTTTCTTTCTGTTCTTGTAGAGTCCGAGAAGGTTGCCATTGTTTAACTTTCTAAAAAAAAACTATTACGGAAGTTCACGCATTCACTCGGAGAATTTTTCTTTGCCATTAGCTTTTGTAAGCTTCCCAGATGTAAAAGTGCTTTTTGTTATATTGCCGACGTTTCGCCCTATTTATTTTGGCAACCTCAAGGCCAACACAGGTGCATGCGGGTGCCAAAATACATACAGCAAAACTTAGGCAATTTTAAAAAATATTGTTGTTACACCGATCTAAATAGCAGACCACTGAAATCAAAAGCTTGTTTTTTAAATTGCCGTCGTTTTGCCTTAGTTTGAAATCAAATAGTTACAGTCCTGAGGATCGTAATATAAATGTGATTAATAAAAATAATTTAATGTTTGGGCGAATTTGTTTCCGTTTTTTCTTAATTGAGTACCAGAGATATTGAAATACTAAATCTTATTTCAGAATTTAAGCGATTTTCTTAAAGCTAAAGCGCTCAGACTATTGCTTTCGAGTGAATTCGAATTCGAGAGAAATTCGAATTTCGAGTGACTTATTAATATTTTTAATGGCAATTGAAAAATCTGACAAAATTATTTGACATTTTATGTATTCTGATTAGCCCAAATGCTTCTTAAATGTACATTTTGAGACATTTTTATACGTGTTAATAGATCGTTGGCAAGTGCAAATAAAAGAGTGTTGCCCAATTTCTGCGAATATCTCAGTTCTTAGTACTAACTCTACAGTGTTTTCCATAAATAGTCCCCGCTAAAACCACAGATCAATGAATAAGGAGAATTCAATCGTAATTTCTTGAAGAAAAATAAAATTTTCAAACCGATTTGGATGGTGATTTTAAACTTAATTATGTAAACATCTCGGTGATTACGTAAAGGTTCCATTGAACCATTTTACATTGGTAGTATTAAACCATATTAAAAATGCAAGCCTTCGTGGTCATGTGGTTGATCCACATCAAATTAGATATTTCTGCAATTAGTGAAGGTTGTTCCTGGAATATTTGGTGCAGTTTTTTTCGCCGACTGTTTTTTGCCTTTAACTGCTTTAATCCGGCATAAAATTCGTTCGCATTTTGATCGTGTATGCGTCTTCGGCTCACACCTGCATTAACGAGGTGCTTTTGTGATAGTCAAAGGGCGTCTTTTCGATATTCGGGCAGGTAGAATTCGGGCTTTGCCAAAAGCAGATGGATTCACGTTTTTGCTTTTCAGCATAAATTCAAATTCCTTATTCCCGAAAGGTTCTCCAACGCATTTATCAATCTATTCAAATTTTTTATAGGTAGTTAGACGGCAGATTTGCTTAACAATGGCGCAGCCAGCCAAGCCAACATTGCAAAGCTGCTTTAAAAGAGGAACATTCTTCGACATGTTCGCCGGCTCATACGGGAAATTGGCCGAAACAAACATTTGCTTTGCATGCAATAAAGCTTAATTTTCACGGACGATTCCTAATCATAGATTATTTCGTATCTATTTGCCTCTGTTGCTAACGACCGGTTGAATACGTATTCTAGTCGGTAATAAACTCATCTTATTACAAATCATTCTCATTAGACTCGACTGCCATTAACTTTACACGAACATATGCTGACTGGAAATGTTCAGTCATTACAGAACAGTTACTGTTTTACCTGCCCATGCCATTATTTTTGGTTAAACTATTCACGAGCAGGAGAATAATTCATGTTCTCTCCCCAAATAAATGGTGAATTTCGGATTTTCATGTTTCTAGAAACGATTAGCTTTTACTTTTTTGTGTGCTTCTGATTCACCAAATTGCAAATGCAGCATTTTTAATTTGCTTTGTGAAATCCAGGTAAAAGAATCCACCGAAAGCATTTAAACTCTTCAAAGAACTTCTTTTTAAATTTCCCTCACACCTTGCTGGAGATTCTTGTTTCAACTGTAAACCCTCTATGCATTTGAGTCATTTTGCCGGGCCAGGATGTGCCGAAATGTCATGGCCCCATGAAGGCGCACCATTAAATGCACTTGAAGGAGCCATAGGTTTCGGATTTTCCTCTCTTTAGACCAGCGATAAAAAAAAAAGGTTTTATACCTTGCTGTTGCACAATTACTGGTATACTTGGTGTTCAAACATTTTAAATGAAAGAAAATGGTGGGAAGAATTTGTTCACTTGTACCCAGTCTTGTGGGGTATTTTTAAATGCCATTCAAATTTGGCATTTTTCAGCAGGCAATTACCAGGAACATGAACTCGAAGGAAAAATGAATCAAAGAAAATACGACAGGAAAAGAGAAGCGAGTGATGAAAAATAAAATTATTAGAAGCAACGCATTTACATCACGCAAGGCTTTGTATTTTGCCCGATTTTCAAAGGACACTGGTTTTTTTTTGTCAAATTGAAATGGCATTTTTAATAAAAGCTTTCTTGCCCATTTTGTACGCTTCGTTATCTTTTGGGTTTTTTCAATCGCGATGTTAAGTTTGGTTTTTTTTAATATTACAAAGAGACACGTGCTTTCTTGCAATTCAACAATTCGTTCATTCTTTAGTAGCGGATTGTGGTTCATTGATTTGCAATTTTTTGCACTTCTTTGTCCTTTCGCTTTCAGAATTTTGTAAAAATTTATTTTTATTCCAAATAAAAAAATGCAGGTTCAAAAATCAGTCCAAAATCGTCAAGACTACAAACAATTTAATGTAATGGAATCTTGGTTGTAGTCGCGTTTTGGATCGCTGTTATTCGCGTTTGGATTCTATTTTGAACGGACAGAATCGGATATTCAATAAAAAAATAGTGAATAATTTAATTTAATAGCCTTTTTGGGTTGGTTCTGAACAATAGACACTCCGCATGCTTTTGAACAATAACAAAGAAATGCGGGTGTTTTATATCTGAGAGCAAACTTCTTGACAGGAAAGAGGCAACTCGATAATTCAGAACAGCAAGAAATTATACGAGTAGAGATAATGCGAATGAAAACACGCTCACGTGTTCGAACATAGAGACTTGAAACTTTAAAAGTTTCACGGGGAAAGGTCAGGAATATGAAGAACAAATTAAGCAAAATATAAGAAAGAAGAAATAGACAGGGTGATGGTCACCCAAACGCAAGCACAAATGAGGAAATATACGTAAAAAATTAAACAAAAATGTCCAAGATTATGAATTATACCGAAATGGAAGAAAGTTTAATGCATTTAAGACACCCAAACATACAATACAAGACCTAATTGTGAAGAAGAATATGCGGTAAAAGCGAAATATTTTCCATTTCGCCCGTCTTTTTGTAAGTACATTCAGTTTGCCAATAATCGCAAGTCCAAATGAATTAATTTACAACATAGAAAATGTTTGCGTTTGTAGTTTTTTTATCTTACATTCTTCATCATTCATTCATTTCAATTTTTCGTCGATTTAAGGCATTATAATTACGAGTTGTAAAGATCACCAAAACTGAACGCGTGGAGCATGTGAAATATTGCCTGAGAATTGGGAATTTCTTTATTTAAGGAGGAAAATTTCGCGGAAAAGATGAACGCGTGATTGAATGAAAAATCAAATAAACCTACAGTTAAAATAGGCCAGAGTTGGAACTAGATCAATTAACATGAAGATACTATTTTAAGTTCCTTTGCTCACTTCACAGTTAAAAGAGGTTTGTTGCAACATACCCCAATACACACTAAGCAGGCAAGGGTAATAACTTTTATATATATTGAACTCCTACATGAAGAAGCTGTTCAATATGTTAATCGAAGTAAAAAGAATAGTTGCAAACTTGAGTATATTTATGGCGCATTAAATTGTTTCCGGTCCAAACTATCTGAAGCGATTTTGAGATTATTCAGTTCAATTCAAGCATGGTTCTTATAAAGATTATTTGGTTATCGGTCATCCACAGGTTGTTCCAGACCGGACTTAACGTGCTAATAAAGACTTACCTTTGTCCTTTGACGGGTGCACTTCTGAGCTTTCTGGACTAATTGATGGTGATTCGATGGGTGGCCCAACACCCACCTCATCCGAACTGCAGGAATCAGGTGAATTTCCTCGGGTAAAGCTCTGGTTGTTGTTGCTGCGGTTGTAATAGAGGGGAAGACCGTTTTGCAATATCTCCCATCGAGAAGCGTCTAATCCTTCCATTTTTTTCGTTTTGAAATTGGACATGGTAAAGTCGAGGGGTTGATCGGTTTCAGGAGCGGAAAGACGGACATGATTGCTGGGGTGTTGGAGCAACATGGGCATTTTAAAGGGCCACAATGGTTGTCCGACCCGATTGTTCCAGGCTGGTACTACAGAATTGTGGTGCTGATCAGTAATCGTGGTGTGACCGAAAGAGGTTTGATCAACCCACCTCAAAATCGACAGTCTCTTAAATCCTCGTTAACAGTTTGTTCATGGCTTCGAACACTGATTGAAATGGTGAACACTAGGCAAACCAAAGTTCGCGGCGCACTTGCTTTTTAGTTAATTACCTGTCGAACAGCACATCATTATGATATGTAAACACTGTATCTATGTATCTACGTTCTTATTTATATCACGTTCGATTCACTAATGTCAAGCAAGGAATCATGCATGTGAACTGTGCCCGAATAGAGTTTTGCACTATCCCGCCGGTCTCGAGATTCTGTTGAATACAAGCAGATACTTGGCCTCACTTCTTCGGCGGCAAAAATGCAAGGGAGGGAGCAAAAATCCGGGGCTTCAGTGGAGTGGGAGACTCGGCGGCGGCCAATCGCAAGCGGAGGTGCCCCGATATACAATAGTACATAAATTCTATAGATTATTTATTTATTCTTCATCTTATGTATGTATTTATGTGAATATATGTATAGGAGCAAAGGATTACCTTTTTCTTTTTCGTTTTTTTCCACGTTGCAGTTTTGCCTCGGGATTTTTAAATCAATATATCTGATTGGTCTTTTATGATTATCTGGTGGATGGACAGCACTCGCCCCAATTCTTCATCAAGAAAAACTTTATGTTTACTACCGGTGTATGAAAGTGTCACTTTTCCCATGGAGTTCATAGTCTTTATTCGGCTTTTTGTCCAAACGGAGCAGATATTGTTGCAAATTAGCCTTCTAATTGACGAAAACTGCAACAGTGTCTGAGTAGAACGGTGTGTTTTGCTTTTATATATTATTTTCTGATATTTATACTCCTTGCAAGCGCTCTGTCATAACGTTTACATATTTAAATTATAAATTATATGAACCCTGGAAGAATATCAAGTATTTTTGTCACACTGCAACTACTCTGACCATGAATCTTTTAGCTCGAAGGAGGAACATTTGCGAATTATTACGAAATTCGGAGAATCATTGATCAAACTGTACCTCCTTTATCTGTACTTGGTTGTGATTTTGTTAGCTTTTTTCGTTTGGCTTCTTTCAACTGCTTGTTAAGTTGAGGTTTGGGAATTATCTCCAATTAATTTCCTATTGTTTTCACATACTTTTCAACAACTTTGCGGGCCTTTCATTAGTGATTTTTAGGCGTTTTATCAATTCCTCCAAGTGCGTTTTCAAGTTGAAATTTTGGTTGGGAGCTGTTTTCGATGCCCGTTTAAATCTGAAATTGACAGAAACATCTTCTGAAAAGTCGCCTGTAAATGTTTCCTGTTAATTAAAACTTACGGCTATTTCAATAGACTATTTGTAATTTGTGCGAGGCTGCTGACCCTGCACTTACCCAATTAAAAAAACAACATTCCGAATTAATAACCGCTTTTTTTTTAGATTTTAGGAGCTGAAAGTGTGCACTGAATCAATTTAAAATTACAGATTTATGAATAAAAGAAAAACTTTGTGCTGCTTGAAGACTTTCTTAATGTAAACTGATGTTTTTCGCAATTGAAAACGCGTGTTTTTTTTACACGCATTTTGTGCCTTTGTTGTTGATTTTGTATGCTTCTTTTTCGCTTGGGTTCCTTCTGCGTTGCAAAGTTTGGACTTTCCTGAATTGTACAAAAATTCACATATTTTCTGAAATTAATTGTACATTATCAATACATCACAGTCGCTACAGGCACTTCGTGGTTCTTTCATTAGCGAGTTTTATATTATACGTTTGTTCTTTTTCCTGCAAAGTTAAAATTTTCCTGAATTTTCTAAAAAAAAACTCATGCTCTGCTGCAATTCAATCAACTTTCTTTCGCCCATTCTTCATTGCCCTTTTGTTGTTCAATGATTTGTGTTTTCTTGCTTTTTCTTTTTTCGTTTTTCTCAATTTGCCATACCTATATACACTGATTTTTTCATCAGTTAATGGTGCATTTTTTGCGTTCTTTACAGTCATTTTGTGGTTTCCTTGTTGATTTTGTATGCGTCTTTTCCTTTAGGTTTGTTCAGATGTGTTGTTAAGTTTGAACTTGATTGATATTTAAAAAAACACACATATTTTCGTCAATTAAGTGAACATTTTTCAAGTGCATTGCAAAGTTTGGGTTTTCTTGAATGTTTAGCACATTGTTTTCTTGAATTCATTGCCCATTATTTTCACACTTTGCAGTTCTTTATTTCTTGAATTTGTCTGTTTTTTTCTCTTTTGATTCACCAAAGTGCATTGTTAAGTTTGGGTTATTGTGGATTTGATAAAGATGCACATGCTTTCCTATAGTGCAGTAAACTTTATTCGTTCATTTTTTGTTGTCGATTTGACATTCATTAATTTGTGTTTTTGCGTCTTTTAGACTTTCGCGATTTTCCAAGTTACACGATATTTTTCTGCAATGAAAAACTTATTTCGCTGACATTTTTATAGGCAATTTGTGGGTTCCTTGTTTTTAATTTCTATTGATTTTGTATGCTTTTTTTCGTTTGACTCCTTTCAAGTGCGCTCTAAAGTTTGCACTTGACTGAATTTTTTAAAGACATTCAAACTTGGACTTCAATTGCTTATTGTTTTCACATCCTTTAAAGACAGTTTTTGATTTTTTGATTAGTGATCATTTTTCTTTTGCTCCCTCCAAGTGCTTTATTAAGTTTAGATTATTTAAAGATGGTCATGATTTTTGGATTGTTTGGTTTTTTCGGACTTCCTAGATATTCTAATGATAACCTGAATTTATGCAATCGATCGAGCAATTTTCTTACGCTCTTAATAAGTACTTTGTGGATTTCTTATTTTTCATTGTGCTGATTCTGTATGCTTCTTTTCCATTTGGTTTGAATGCATTTTCTAAGGTCAAACATTCTTTTAACTTTCGTTCAAGCCACTTTGTGGGTCTTTGATTAGTACCTAATTCTGTAGGCTTTTTTCTTTTGCTTCATTAAGTTTCCATTTTAAAAGAATAGATTATTTTATGAGAACATGCTTTTCTGGATTTGAGGGTAAATTATTTGTCCATTTTTTTATGGTCGTTTATGGATTTTGACTTTTTGTGCCATTTGGACTTGATGGTTTGAAGAGGCACATACTTTTTCTGCAATAGAAAGATGATTTTTCTTTATAGGCACTTTGCGGGATTTTTGGTTTTTCATTATTGTACATTTTATATGCTTCTTTTCCCTTCCAATTCCTTCAAGTGCTTTAGTTAGCGCTTGGTTGAATTTTATTACAAAAACACACATTTTTGTTCAACTCATTGCATTTTGTTTTCACATTCTTTACCATCACCTTTGCGGTTTTTTGAATAGAGATTTTGCGTTCAACTTTTCTGTTTTGCTTCCTCCAACTGCTTTGTAAAGGTTGCATCAATGCAAGGCAGGATTATTTGTGATTTATTGGCTTGTTTCAACTTTGCTGGATTTTCCAAGGATTCACTGTCYTTCTTCTGCAATTGAACACGCATTTTTTTACTTTATTTGTCATTTTCTTGTTGATTATGCTAGCTTATTTTTCTGTTGAATTATTTCAAGTCTGTKGTTAATTTTCAACTTGAGTGAATCTTCTAAAGACACTCACATTTAGCCTTCAATTTATTGCTCATTGTTTCCACAGTCTTTACTAACACTTTGTAGTTTTTTTATTAGTGATATTTTATATGCTTTTTTTCTTTTGCTTCCTCCAAATGCGTTGTAATGTCGGGATGTTCATGGACTTATAAAGAAACACATTCTTTCCTGCAATTTAACGTACTCTACTCATCCCTTTTTTATGGGCGGTTTGTGGCTCATTCATTTCAGGTTTTTTATATGTATTTGTATTTTCGCTTCCTCTTAGCGCGTGGTAAAGTTTTATTTTTTCTGGATTTTTTTAAATGTTATTTCTGCAATTTTTAATTCCAATAAGAACAGTTATGATATTAAACTGAAAACTTGCCTAAAAAAGTCGCTCTTGGATCGTTTTTATTCCCTTTTGTGTTTTATTGCAGTTTAGATTTGCGCTCCTTTCCATCGGAAATGATCGGACTTTTTCAATTAAAAGGGAAAAAATACTCAATCATGGTTTAATGGCGTTTTAGGGTTTATTCTGAAGAACATAAATGCTCAGAATGGTTTCTCACGATAACTAAGGCTTGAGGGTGTTTTAAAGTCGATAACCTTTTCCAATATGTTCTTTTTTTCTTGTAAAACAAAGGCAAATTAATTATTTTGTCATTGTATTCGTAAATTTTATGATGTATGGAACTGTGTAATTGGAAGAGAAAAGTATATTTTTTGGAAACTTTTAGCTAGCAAATTTCGTCCGTTAATTTGGACTTTGATTTCGCTGAATTCACTCGGATCTCTTGGAAACAATTCCTAAAAAAAACACACTTAAACGCCTCCTGGCTAAAACACCGTATCGATCAGGCTCTGGAAGGCGCGCATTTAAAAGAAAGTATATAAAGAAGGCGCGAGAAAAGGCATATATCAAATTTCGTTCGGCTCCCCTTCTTTGGGGTGCTGCCGCCCCGCGTATTCAGATCAGATTTTGATATGATCGGGGTGGCGCAGACGCGGATCACATTACGTATGCACCAATGCGGCCCAGGCACCCCCCGCACGCTTTTGGGGGGAGAAAAGATGGATTTTAGTTTAAAACGGATCGCGATTGGCGCTTTATGATTTTTTACCTAAACATTGGGGAAACTCGGATGGCAAAAATTGGGGGGGAAAACTCCTTTGGATCTCCATCTTGGATCTGAAAATTTTTCCTTGGAATGTTTGAGACTCTCTGGAATGTCTGATGATGATTTTTCCAAAATTTTTCCTGTGATTGACCGGTTGGGCTTTACCATGGGCAGAAAAACACAGAGGTGGATTCAGCAGTTTTGGGCGTTACGCATAAATCAACTGTAATCAATTAAGCATAGCGCATTATTTTGTTCCTGGAAACTAACCGTCTTTGATATGATCCACCGCAAAACGTTCACGCGATATTACAATTGTTATGTTTTATTCATTTGCAGTTACATTTCCAACCAAACCTATTGCATTGGGACGAAATCGTGCAAATCATTGCCGACTGTTTCGTGTTTTTTTTTGGTCGACTTTAATCTGAACTTTGCAGCTTTTTCTCGCAAACGCTCAATTTTCTTGTCCAAATCGGGAAAACTGGGAAAAGTTCCATGAACTTTGCCGTAACAATGACATTCCATATAAATATATCCGGCGGGATCCATATTGACAGACCACAATAAAAGCAATGCCACAGCCGTAAACGATCATTTTCAGCTTTACAAAAGGAATAGTTAT